GCCAACAGCAGCGAAGATCAAAGCTAAGATAGTCACAACAGCAAATCACAAAGACAAAGACAGGCGCAGAGTCAGCAGAACACAGGGTGAACGCACACATGCTGAAGCGCAGAGGAAACATAATTTGGCTTATAGCAATGAGAAGAGTCCACGGGCTGTTGGGCTGAGCCTCCTTAAAACTAGTTTGATGCTTATACAGAGTAGAACTTGCAGAGGCGACAGAGAAATCAAAGAGACAATCATCTTGCAGCAAGCAATTTCTGGGAGCAGAAGAAAAACTCTGCATTGTTAATTCCTCCTGTGGTGGCTGGAGCAATGGAGCTCCGGGCAAAGCCCGGCCCCTGCCCCCGGGGGCCAGGACAATGGGAATGCTGGGAGATGAGACAAATGTGGCAATTCTGAGGGTAGTGGCCAAGGGCCTGGGGGCAGGCCGGGGGAGTGGACTGTCGTAAGGTGGACCCAGTGCATTCTTCTTAGAAAAGTATTTGAGGTTAAGTCACTATTAACCAAAGAATGTAGAAATTATGTGTCCGACTAGAGAGAAAATTAGAATCAAATTGAGAGATGAAATATGCAAGGATGAGTGTGAGAGGGAAAAACAAATCATGAAAAACTCCACAGAGGAAGAAGATAGAGGGGAGATAGAAGGAGCCAGGCTGCATTATGACTTCCGTGGGCCCTGGGTGATTTTGCCCTCATGGGCTCCTTCCTCTGTTAAAAAAAAAGGAAAAAAAAATGTCCTTCTAGTTTCATTGAGATATAATTGACACACAACACTGTAACCATTTAAGGTGTACAACATGATTTTCTCTTGTGATGAGAACTCTTAGGATTCCTCTCTTTCAGATTTAACACACAGCAGTGTGAATTATAGTTATCATGTTGTACATTACCTCCCTAGTACTTATTTATAATTGGACTTTTGTACCTTTTGACCATTTTCCTCCAATTCCCTTGCTCCCCACCCTGGTAACCAAGTATTTAGTTATATTTCATAACCATGTTATATAATGACTGTATTAATATCATATATTAAAATGCTTCTGTTACCAAAAAGTTTTTCTTTTCCCTCTGATTTAAAAAAAAAATTAAAGCATTGTCATGGGCCCAGGAAGGATTGTGGGTCCCAGGCTCTGTCTCAGCTAAGCCTTAGTCCCCCTGGGAGGACACAGCAGAGCTCACAGAAGGACCACAAACAAGGCTCAGCTGTGAGCCAGCTCCTTCAGGGCAGGTTCTTGTTCGTCCTTGTGTCCCTAGCACCTCACTGGAATAAATGTGATAACTCTCCAAATACTCAGTGAGCACCTACTCTGTGCCAGGCCCTGCGCTAAGTGCTGGGAATACAAGGATGAGACGCTGCCCTTGCCTTCCACGTTGGTTCCAGCGCCAAGTGGACTGTGTCTATTAGGAATCTTTCAGCTGCCTGGAAAATCAAATGCGTTAAAAAAAAAAAAAACTAAAACCGAAGTTAAGTAAAAGGCATATTTATTAGTTCACGTAAATGAAAATGTCCTTGGTAAAAGCTGGTCTCGAGACTGACTGAATTTAGGGATCAAGTGACCATAACCAAACTACGATGAACGTGAGGCTCTCAGATGCCTGGCACAATTCTGAGCATTTTATGTGAATCCACCCACTCAACTGACAGCAAACCTACCAGGTAGTAGTATGAACAGCTTCATTATGCCCAAGAGAAAAGTGCAGTATTCAACTCCTCTCTATCTCCTGGTCCTGCCTTCCCGAGTGGGGGTTTCTTCTCAGATCCTTATAATGACCCCAAGCTTATTAGCTATTTATGAGAGAAATATTCACAAGAATCTGCAGGACTTAGTGATTCATTGGCTGTAGGGATTGGAGTGGGGGTGAAGGTCAGGTCTTCGGTGTAACACTATGCAGGGTGATTAACAGAAAAATCATGACTTTTGAGAGAAGCTGACCACAGTTTTTTGGATGCGTTGATTTAATGTGACAGTCAGATACTCAAATGACTGTATTGTTTAAATCATGTATCAGGTCATTCTAAAAAGTCACTTGCAAAACTTACATAGAAAAAAATAATATAACAGAATAGAAAACAGATAGGAGAGGGAATCAGATTGGAGGGAAAATGATTTCTCCTCCGGAGAGCTCCTCTGCAATTACCGCCGCTCCTACTGTATTTGGGGCCCCATTTCTGTGCTCCAGCGGTTAACTTATATTTCCCCCATCATAGCACTCATTTAAAACTTTATTACAATTTCCAGTTTAATGTAAGTTCCACAGGGGCAGCATCCTTGTCTCTGCAACACACTATCCAGCCCCATCACCTAGCACAGCAAATATCAAAAGAATGAATGAGTGTGTGAAAAACCTCATTTAATCCTTGTAACCAGGTTGGGGGTGGTATAGCTCAGAGGGAGAGCACAGGCTTAGCATGCACAAGGTCTTGGGTTCAATCTCCAGTACCTCCTCTGTCACTTTTTTACTTTATTTTTATTATTTGCAACTGTAGACGCATCAGGAAGGAATAAACATGTAACACCTCACCACCCAAGTTAGCCAAACCACTGGGGTCCTAGGGGTTAGTGTCCAGGAACTCTGAGCCTTCATGTGCTTCTCAATGAGATATCAAGACAATTTATGTGAGAAATATGCCTTTGGGTTCTTAATTTTGTGTGTGGGTTGAAAGGAAAGAGTTGGGTTTCCAAGGCTTTGGAAATGGAATAAGTTTATTTTTCTTTGGGGATAGAGAACTGAGCCTGCTCAGACTAGCCTCTCTGTGACGGCAGAACCCTAGGAGGAGTGGCTGCTGGGAAGCTGACATGGTCTGCGCACGAAGGCTTAGAAGCCTGCAGAAGAAGCCCTACATTTCTCAAAAGGAAATGGAGCAACTGCAGAGCCACCCTCCAGGAAGGACCTTTGGTTCAGGGCACACAGCTGGACAAGCAGACCTCCTGGCTGTTAGCTGAGGCACCAGCCGGGACACTGGTACCCCAACAGTGACATCGTGTGGTCATAAGGAGCAATAGCAGTGGAGATATCCAGTCTGAGAAACAGAGATGGTGTGAACCCCCTGGTACAACTGTGTAATCTAAGGAAGGGGAGGAGCCCTAAAGTGACTGATAACAGACGTCCCACCAATCGTGACAGCTGGGGGCTTGGACTCCTCTGATTTAATCTGTGAAAATTCTTTTAAAACATCACTGTTGAACTCTGGTCCCACTTTAAATCCCCAATGTCCTCATCTAAAGTCCTTCTCCTTCTCAGTAATTATCTGTAAACTTTTCTTCTCTTCAGAGACTGTAACCAGAAGGCCATTCTAATTCATATGCTTACTTTTTCGTATCTGACATATAAGTGTATTTGCTTATTGCCTGTCTTCCCTACTAGAATTTAACTCCACGAAGGCAGGGTTCTTATCTTTCTTGTGTGCCACTGTACGCCCAGTTCTTAAAATAGTTCCTGGCAGACACTCTGAGTATATTTGTCAAATGAGTGGACCAATGAATCCTATACCTGAAATAAGCTAGGGTCCAGGCACTGTGCTAGGCACTTACGTTATTTAACCCTCACACCAGCCCAGTGGGCTATCGTTACCTGCTTTGGTAGAGGGAACTGAGCACCCACACTACCGGCCACTGAGCTCTGCTGTCCCTCACCATTCCTGTTTCCCATCCCACTACTTACCTTTTCCAAGAATATTCATTTTTTCTCCTTCAGGTTAGGTTGTGTCCCTTCCCCCTTTCCTCTCAAAATAACCTATGTGTTTCACTGCACTTACATCATTCATTATATGTTTGTGTCTCCCTAAACTCTCAGGTCCCTGAAAGCCTCAGAAGGGATCGTCATCTTGGTGTTCACAGGAGCTACCACAGGGCCCGGAACACAATAGGTACTCAAAATGTTTTCTACAACGACTGAATGAATGGGTGGGTGACGGTGCTCCTGTCCCTAGCCAACCCCCTCCCCCTTCTCCGTTTGGTGATGCTCATGCTTCGAGAGGACCTACTGTGCACCAGGCATGGTATTAGGTATGGGAAATATGGAAGTGAACAAAACATTCTCTACTGCGAAGGAGCCACATGTAGTGGAGTTGGAGGTGAGGTGGGGGAGTAATTTCAAACAATCGCGATTAGTGCAATTAGCACCAAGGTGTGCAACTGATGCTTTGGGAGCAAGAAGAGAAGCATCTGGCCCTAAAACAGGGATACCTTGCTGCATTCTGTAGGACATTAGAAATGACAATGAAAGCACATAGCTCACTGTGACTCAACAGAACGAGGGGAAGTGGCAAGAGGTGAGGCTAAAAAATGGGCAGGGACCAGATCATGAAGGGCCTTGAAGGACACATTCAAGATCTTGAACTTTATTCTGAAGGTGACAGGGAGCCATTGAAGGGTCTGGATCAGGAGGGTGATGTGATCAGACTGGCAGTTCAAATAAAGGTCAGATGAAAGATAAAAGCCTGAACTAGAGCAGTGGCAATGGGTATTAAGGGAACAGACCAAAGAGTTATCAATAGGGTAACTGTTTGCACGTGGTAGGGGAGGGAGAGAGAGGAGAAGGCGCCAATGAGGACTCCCAGGTTTCTGAGTGGATGACCGTACCATTCACCAGTAAAGAAAACACAGGGGGAGCAGTTTTGAATGATACACAGTAAGTGCTCAATAAATAGCAGTCGAATAGAAACTGAACTTAAAGGCTGAAGACAGACTGCTTCTTTTGGATCTGTGGAATACTTTCCAAATCCAACTCAAGACAGTGCTCTGGGGTATAGGTGGCTGGTAGGAGAGGCCTGGGAATGAGTGTTAATGGAGGAATTACCCAGAATGAGAAGAGGATAAGAACAGAATCCTGGAAACCGGGAAGGGGGTGCAGCTTAATGGTAGAGCACATCCTTAGCATGTAGGAGGTCCTAGGTTCATTCCTCAGTACCTTCGTTAAAAAAAGAAAAAGAAAAAAAAAAGAATCCTGGAAACCCCAACTTTTAAGAGGTGGGAGAGGAAGAAGAGACTAAAAGGAAACACACAAGCTGACATTTAATGAGCCCCTACAACAAAAGCCTGTGCTAGATGTTGGAAAAAACTGCAACTCTATCTTCCTAGGAGGAAAGTGCTTAAGGAGCAAGCCAGAGGCTATTTCTTTGCCCTGTCACCAGAGTTGAGCCCCGGATTCAGTGGTAACTGGAGAAATCATGCAATGATCTGTTTGAAACTGAAGCCACATTCCAGGTTCCATCGTGTCTTGTTCCTTGCACCACCTCCCCCCATCCCAGCCCCTTCACATGGAGTCTGGATAGGATGGCATTATTTTTATTGATGGTGAGTGCAAGCAGGTGTGAGTGGCTGTTCCTCTTTCAGAGAGTGCTGGGCTGAAGAAGCCGGGAAGGGAGGGCCAGAGCTGGGCTGTGGATGCAGGATTCACTCCTTATTTGGGTGGGAATGCTGCATTCGGAGAGGAAGATTTACTGTGGGACCAGGCATAGGCACGGGGGAGGCCGGCGGCACCAGCCATCAGGCCGCACTTTCTATCTGGAGCACAGCCGCATCAGCAGCCTCAGATCTCCCGGGATCTTCCTCGGTGTCTCGCGGAGGTTCTGGCTCTGGCTTGGCCTCCAGCGCAGGCTGGGCTTCGGGCTGGCCCTCGGCACTCCGGCCAGGCCCAAGGCGAGGTGGCTTAACAGGCGTGGGTGCTGGCGCAGCAGGGCCTTTACGGCCCGATAGGGCCCTTCGCAGGCTCTGGACCTTCTGCAGCCCGGTGCGCCGCAGGCGCCGCGCCCTGGACTCCACGGGCTCCTCGTCTGAGCTCTCCTCAACTTCGGCCTCCGGCTGCTCTGGGCCAGCTTCGGCCTGTTCCGCCGGGCCTAAGGGCTCCGCCGCCTTCTGGAAGGCTCTGGCTGGGATTTCTGCCTCCTCCTGCAAGTGACGGACATAGCACTGACCCTGGCAGCCCCGCTCCATCCCGCGCCCCACTCCTCAATCACATCAGGGGAACCCGCCCCACCCTGAGCCTCCGCAGTCGGGATGAGAAAGAAAAGGCAGGCGTGGGAGAGTAGAGAGCGGAGCGGAGTGAGAGAGGGGGAGCTACACAGAAGTTTGTGGGTCCCGATTAGGGGCAGGAGACGGGGCAGTGGCCGTAGGGCAAGAACAGGAGGCGGCGGCGAGCTGTCCCGGGATGCACTTCCACCACCGTTATTTTCCTTCGGGGATGGGCTGGGACTTGGAGCAACCTCTGGGGACGTGGCCAGAGCTAGAGCTAGGGGGCTGGGACTGGCCATGCTGGGTTCCGGGTGTGAGGGAAGGCTGGGGCTGGGCTGTGGGAAGTGGGTGAGGCCCTGGAAGCGGGTTCTACGAGGCGGGGGAGGGTGGAGTCAGGAATGTGGGTGTGGTGGGCAGATGGGACGGGGAGTCCCGCGATGGTGGCCCGCAGGCGGGAAAAGGACCCAGATTAAGGGGGACGCCTCAGGTCACTGACCTTGAAGAGCAGAACGTGGAGCTTCCCGCGCGCCACCAGCAGCCCGTGGTTGGCCTCCAGCCGCTGCACCT